GGCTTTATCTTTTGCCCTTTCTGACCTGTTTGACTCTTCATGTTGGTCCATGATTGTTTGAGTCAGAACACACCAGGGGTCAGTGTGGAAAAAGTAGGTGGACTAGATTCTCCCACACGGCCAGCACCTCCCTCACATGGCCGCATTTGCTCTCAGTGCAAAAATATCTAATAGATACGTAGTGCTTACTGCATGCCAGGTAGTGTTCTTTCCACAGATGAGGTAGGTCCTGGTCTCTCCTCCAGTTTACGAATGAGGCAATTGAAGCTAAGGGAGATTATTTCTTGCCCACGGTCACATGACTAGTAAGTAAGTAGTGGAGCCAGGAGTCTCTCTCCAGGCTCTGGGCTTTTAACCCTTCGACTCCATGATCATTGAATAAGATAGCAATAGATGGTGGAGTTGGAAGTTCAGACGGAGCGTGCCCAGCTATATGTGAGTTGGCATTGCCCTTAAACCCTTTTAATCAGATTGAACATTGTGGTGACCGAGGAGCACACAGGGAAAGAAGGTCGAAGTGCGGAGAGAGAAAGGGAAAAGTGTAGGGAGAACAGTGTTTTGGTACAAGGAAACTAAGTCGTGTAATTAAATACGTTGCCTGTGATGAGCAGCTGGGCCAGGAGAAGATAGGGACCTCCCAAGCTGTCTGTCCTGCTTCATCGAAACATCCTGATGTTCAGACAGAGGGTGTGGGAGGAAGAAATGACAGAATTCTTAGAACTGTTAAATGATGAAACATCTGATACCGGCCGGAGTGAAGGGTGAAATAATCATGAGGGGCACGGACATACTTTATTCAGTTGCATGAAGATGACAACTCATCATTTGAGCCCTAAACCTGCTCATTAAGTTTGGAACTGATAAAACGCAGCCGATGTAGCTTGCCTTCCTGCATTCAGCTGTGTCTGTTAAGACACAAACATTCGTCTTGGGCGGCTCTTTTGCTGGGTTGGTTTTTCCTGAAATAAAATCCCTGGCACACAATAATGGAAAAAAGAAATCCAGAGTTCATCATATTCAGTGTACTGTTTTCTACACTGGAAGATTTTGAGTGCTTTGGAAGTAATAATTCTGTTTTCCCAATTTCCTGCTCTCCACTAGGTTCTTGGAACGCCAAATGAGGACACTTGGCCTGGAGTTCATTCTTTACCACATTTTAAACCAGGTACGTTTCATTAATTACAAATGACTAAATGCTTCCTACATGCAAAGGGTAAGGATATAAATGTTCCCCCTCAAGCTAATTAATATATTATCTTGAAAAATTCTAGTTACTTCTGCCATTGTATATTCTACCTATTAATGGAATTTTTTTTTTTATTTTTACATTTGTCTATAAATATCGAATAAATGATATCTCTCGTGAGAGATTTTCATCATAATGTGCTTCATTTGGTTAGACTGGATAATCTTAACATAACCATTGATTTTATCATCAGTTAGACTAGCATCCATGTCTACAAAACCAAAATTTAAATCGGAGTACTACACTGTGTGACTTCTTGTGATAATACTAAGAAAAGTATTAAATTGTAAAAAGAAAAATACCACATTTTGATTTCTTCCTTAAAAACTAGAAACATATGATCAAATTAATCTGAGTTTAAACATACTAAATGTTCCGAGTGTCCTATTGTACGATAGCGAGTCTTTTATAATGTAAATTATCTGAACCCCTAAACTGGAAAATCTTGAGAGAAAATGCAGAATTTTAAAAATAAACTGTCACTTTTCTCTAACCAGTAGGTGGCAGTCAAGAAACTTTTAGTTTTAGTACATTTAGAAGAATCTTAAACATGGTCTATTCAACTTTTGTAGGAGGAATGAAAGGTTTGGAATTAGAAATTTAATAAAAATCAGTGGAATGAATTATTGTAAAGTGAGTCTCTTGTTGGTTGTTTTTTTTTTTTTTTTTCTCCTTTACAAAACATGCTTTATAAAATGCAGACCCACCATAAAATTACTGAAAAGGATTTTGTGGAAGATCTAATAGTTCATTATTTTATGAAGGAAAAGAGCGCTGAATAATTCCTGTTAGGGGAGCCAAGTATATTCTTTTTCTCCTCTTCCCCTCTTTTGGGGGACCATCAGGAATAAATTATCAATCCCAAAGAATGACTGAATTGGGAAACTATTTTTATTCTTAATATTTTTCTTCTGAAAGTGTAGAGTGTGCTGAGAACTCTTTTATCTTCTTCAGTGCCCCAAGGACTCTTTGTACTTTTACAGAAATTTTTAAAGAACTTCTATGATCTAAAAGACTATAGAAACTTAACAATTTAAGATGGATTTTCTTCTCTCTCTTTTTTTTTTTTTTAATGAAGCAAGAATCATCCTCTAACTGCTCCAGTTGTTCCTGATGGAGGCTAAGTGAGAACACAGTTCTTTATAAACGTTCCAAATGTAGGCTCTTAGAGAAAGTTAGCTTCCTTGCATTAGTATCTAAAGTATGAAGTCTTGGGAAATAAAACAGAGAAAGATGTGAAAAGATTTTAAATGAGTAAAGTTAGAGGCAGAAAGGAACAATTAAGGCAGTCATTTCGCCTGCCAAGTTTTTGTACTATTAAACATGGAGTAATTTGTTTATTTTGGTGTAAATAGAACTTATCCTCATTAACAACATACAAAAGCATTTATTAAATTGTATTCTGGAAAGTAATATGATATAGTGCAAAATAAGCTCACAGGTTGGGAATTTCATGAGATTAGGGACTGTGCATAGTATATATTTTGGTGTTCAATAAACATTTGTTGCTCTGAATTATAATGAGTGTTTAAAATAGACATTACTTATGTGACTCCTCTGATAGACATATGTATGTGTAAGTTATTATATTACGTTCACATGTCACTACAGACACATGATACACAGAAGGTAATGGGGGTCCAGAAGAATAACGTTTAGTTGGTTTAAGGTGTGGGTGCTAACAAGCAAGAAAGATATTCCCAGCAGTGCTTGGGGCTTGTGGATGAGTAGATGTGATCAATGCTTCTCCACTTGGCTTGGGAGGAGTTAAGGGGAGACAAGATAATAGACTGAGGTAAAGGAATCAAATCTGTGAGCCCTTCCATGCAGCATATAACCAGACCATCAAGGGTCCTAGTCTCTGACTGTCTGGGCCTCATACTCCAGAGGAAGAAGATACACATTCCCAGGGGAGAAAAATATCAGTCTATGGTCTCACCTCCACGCCTACCCACAAAGAGTGCCTTAGAAAGTCAGGGAAAACAAAAAAGTCTGAGCCATGAGGACATACTGTTTTTTGTTTTGTCTAACAGGCTTTATTTTTTAGAGCAGTTTTAGGTTCATAGCAAAATCGAGTGGAAGGTACTGAGATTTCCCAGATACCCCGACACGTGCACAACGTCCCCATTATTATCATCCCCCACCAGAGTGGTGCATTTTGTTCCATGGATGATCCTTTGCAGACACGTCAGTATCACCCAAAGTCAACAATTTACATTAGGGTTCATTCTTGGTGTCGTACATCCTGTGGGTTTAGACAAATGTATAATGACATGTACCCACCGTTACAGTATCATACAGAGCGATTTGACTGCCCTAACAATTTTCTGTGCTCTGCCTATTCATCCCTCCTCCCTTCTAACCCTTGGCAGCCACTGACCTTTTTACTCCATAGTTTGTTTTCCGGAATGTCATAAATGAGAGAGAAAGCCATCAAGATATTTGAGGGAAGAACTTTCCAGACAGACAGAACAGCAAGTACAAGGGCCCTGAAGTGGGAGAGAGAATGGTTGAAAAATGAGGTCAGAGGCAGCAGGGCTGAGACAGCTCATTTGAGTCTTGAGGGCTAGTAGGAGTCCTTCATCATTTACTCTGAACACGATAGAAAGTGCTGGAAGGTTAACAGACAGCGCACGATCTGGGTGACATTTTAGTAAGATCACTCTGGCTCTTGTGCTGAGACGAGGGGGCCAAGGCAGAAGCAGGAAAACCAGTGAGGAGACGATGACAAGAATCTAGGAGAGAGGTGATGAAATGTGCCATAAATAAAATTATCTACCTTTTCAACTTCTTTGTTTTCCCTTGGAAAGTATAGCAAAACTGAAGCAACATTTTAAGAACAGTTGTTAAAAAATTAAAAGAATAATTAGATAACAACTGGTTTATTCCTTGGTATTTAGCTTGTATATATCCTCTTCTGCTCTTACATTTATGCTAACACAAAATTCCTTAACTTCGCCATATTCCCATAGCAACCAGGCAGCTGGGACAGACCACAGTGGCATAAAATAAATAAATAAATATGTTGCACATGCACAAGTGTGTGTGTGCGCGCACGCGTGTGTGTGTGTGTGTGTGTGTGTGTGTGAATACTATATATAATGAGTCTAACCTTGGGAGCTGCTGCTTTTCCATCATTTACTTCTGTTTAAATTTATCTTAAAAGAAATGGGACGTGGATCTATTTCTTCTTTGAACCTGATTGCCTTCCGTTTCTTTTCCTTCACCCTCAGGGTTCTGTGGTTTACAATCTCAAAAGTAGGGGTGTCTCCATCTCTCCCTCCCCTTTTCCTTCCTCCCTCCCCCTCATTCCCTCCTCTGCTCTCTTCCCTCCTTCTCTCTCCCCATGCTCCCTTCTCCCCTTCCCACTCTTTCCCTCTCTCCCTCTCTTCCCTGTCATATAGGAGTGTCTCCCTAAGAGGTGAGAGGTTACACTGTGATATCCTATCACTTAAGTAATTCTGTCACCTCTGATTAGATTCATCACAGGACAAGCCCCATTCTCTAACCAAAAATATGAGTCCACTGTAAAATTAAGACATTTTTCCCTTCACTTGTTTCAGTTACTCATTCACAGGATGCTTTTACACAACGCTTCAGTTAACTTCCGGAGTAGTAAGTCCTCCCGGAGAGAATCACAGGACGCTTTCCCCTGCCTGTTTTGCCCATCACTACTTTATATTCACAGAGGCAGCATGGCTCATGTACCTTGGGGGAGGTGATGCTTGAAATTCTTGATTGTAAGACAGATGTGGTATTCATTTTCTTCAAAACCCATCTTGCATACATATTTGAGGAGTTGTTTGGCCTTTGTAGAACTGTGGCAATCCTGGATCAGGGCTAAACGTAGGTAGATGTTTGCGGTTCTCCCAACTGGTAAAATCAGGGTGAGGGATTGAAAATTCTGAGAAGGCTTCGGGATTTCCTGCTGCCACCAAAAACCCCAGGATTGCTTGAGCTAGGAGTGTGAGCGGTGTTTTGATTGTACCATAACTAGGCAAAATTGGACAGTAGAGCTGGACGACGCATGAGGGGCCATCTTGTCCTGCTCTCGCCTTTGTAAGGTTGGGAAACTGAGTCAGTGATGTTAAAGAACTTCCCCAAAGTTAGCGTCAGAGGCGGAGGTAGGTCCAGTTCTGCTTGGGTTTCAGTTCGGTGCTCTTTTCCAGTGTGCATTGTGAAAAGTTATGATATTGGGCCTGCATCGGGATTTCTCACTGACCTTCCAATGAATATTTTATTGACAATTAGTCGATTAAAAACATGTCAAAAGAGTAAAGAGGATTTGATCTCTGTATTTGGTAAAATACATCAAACTGCAAATATTGCTTTCTATAAAATAGTTTGGTCCTGAAATAATATGTAGACTCCATGTCTGATACTTTTAATCATCTCTTAAATGCTTCCAACAAAAGAGGCATTCAACAGCTATTTTATGACAAATTATTATTCAGGAATTTAAAAAAGGAAGGCACTGTAAAATTCAGGGAGAAAAAAATGCTGCTGGAACGGAAGCAATTAAAAGTAATGAAATTTAGACTAAAATAATTCTATTTTCTCAAATCAAGCAAGAGAACAGAGCATTTCTAAAGTGATTATATTATTCCTAAGAGAAATTTATCTGATACAAGAGGCCGTTTGATTAAGGAAAGTTTGATGAAGAAGAATTCATTACAATGAATGAAGATAAAAACAGAAGAATTTACCATTGGAGGCAAATTACAGAACGGTAGCATTTTATTTTATTTTATATTTATTTTTCAATTACAGCTGAAATTCAGTATTATTTTATGTTAGTTTCAGGTGTACAGCATAGTGGTTAGACATTTCTATGATTTACGAAGTAGTCTCCATAATTAGTCTAGTACATACTTGGTGTTATACATACTTATTACAATATTATTGAATATATTCTTATG